AATTTCGCATGATTTAACATGGAAGTGATAGGGAGAATGAGGAAATCACGTGCATTTATCTAAATATCTAGAGTTCAAATTTTCAGATTTGGCTAAAAATATTACCACAGCTTCTTTAAACTATAAAGAAAATATGTGTGAAAAATCAGATGCCTGTACCGTACAGTTTTTGAGAAAATCGAAAATGAATTTCGCATGATTTAACGTGAAAGTGATAGAGAGAATGAGGAAATCACGTCCACATTTACCTAAATATCCAGAGTTCAAATTTTCAGATCTGGCTAAAAATATTACTACAGCTTCTTTAAACTATAAAGAAAATATGTGTGAAAAATCAGACGCCTATACCGTACAGTTTTTCAGTAATAATTAAAATAACACAAAAAACGAGCGATTTTATGATTGGTATGAGAAAGAACGACGTTGCCATTTCCTCAATTGGAGTGAGATAGAACTATCTCCGCTCCCCCGCGCCCGCAGGGACGTGAGGGTAATACCTTAAGAGCCGTTAGGCCACTAATTGTATAAGCGTGTGTGTATAGCAGATAATTTAAATAATTAATTATAAAATAATCTGAACACAAAAAATTATTGACCACCCGCGATTGATCGCAATCGTTCATTTGGCTATAAAATCTCGAATTTACCACGCAGCTTCTGTAACTACCACTGTTGTTTCTTTCACAACGCAGACTTCATCTAAATTATAATTTTTCTGGATAATCAATCTTCTTCGTTGAAATTGTCACAAAATAGCTACCGACGGAAAGAGCAAGAAGCTTTTAGCGATCGAGTTCTGTGAAAGAGAAAATGGGTATGACACGGGGATGATATTATTAAATTACATTCAAGTAGGATTTACTTTTTTAATAGAATTTTAATTCGAAGCTTAATGTTAGACGTAAGGATATTAAAGATGATGGCCGCTTTTAATTTCCGCTAAAAGAGAAATTGTGTTTTCCAAATATATCTAACACTAATGCGATATTAATCGTAAATCATTTCAATCGAGACGAGGGGGTGCTGCGTTTGCACAATAATAAATCATTCCCGATCGCTAATTCGAAGGAATTGGCGATCAGGATTTCCGCTGCGTGTACACACAAAATTACCGGAGATATTCTCCGGTTTCTCTCACCTTCTCAATCGGCATTGAAGGGCACGCACGGCAGAGGTTCCAGAATGAACCAATCATGAGGCCGCGATGTGTGGGGCAGTGGGACAATAGTAGTGACACACAGAGAGCCGCCGCTTTAGCGAGCGACGCAAATCGGGAATCGGCCGACGACGACGACGACGACGACGACGATGACGACGGATGACACGCACACCACAGTTGTTTCGGCAGAGATCACGGACCAGGCAGGATCTCGTGTAGGGCGTCCCTTGCCGAGGAGGACACGGCTCTCCTCGGCGCCGGCTCCTACGGACGACGATGCGGATACACCACTACCACACAGCTCTTCTTCGCGTTCTCTCGTACTCTCTCGTCCACTTCTCACCCACCTCACCCACCTTTACCACTCTTTCTTCTTCTTCTTTTTCTCAGCCTTCAAGGCAGTGTTCGTAAGCGGCGCTCGGGCTCGGGCTCGGGCTCCGAATTGCTCCCTCTGCGTATATATATGTGTGTGCGTGCGTATATATACGTGTACATGTGAGTCGATAGGTTATAAATAAGGGTGTATATAAGGCGCGGATGAGAGAAAAGTATATTCGCACGTCTCCCGTTTTCTTTTGGGATACGATATCGCGCAAAGAAAAATGTCACATGCAAAATGTTTTATTTACCACACACACGAATAAAGAACAAATGGAGTCTATTTCAAAAAGAAAACTTTTGCGAGAATATATTCTTCTTTTCAGTTCTAGTATTAAATTATTAGTTTGCACAGACAAAATGTGAGACGTGCAAATAAAATCTCTCTTTTATACATTCTATATAAGATTGAATGTGTATATAAAAAGAAAATAAAATTAAACAAACGGCTCGATGAGGAAAAATCAAATAACGGTACGCAACCGCGGAGCCTTTGGTCCAGGAAGGAAAAACAAAATGATCGAAACGTCCTTAAAAAAAAAAATACACTGTGGTTTTTTTACGGTATATTGAATGTCCGCTTCCTTCCTGGACCAAAGGCTCCGCGGTTGTGTATCATTATTGTAAAAAGAAAATGTTAATACTATAAGATTGAATTTTCTATAAGATTGAATGTGTATATAAAAAGAAAATAAAATTAAACAAACGGCTCGATGAGGAAAAATCAAATAACGGTACGCAACCGCGGAGCCTTTGGTCCAGGAAGGAAAAACAAAATGATCGAAACGTCCCTAAAAAAAAAAATACACTGTGGTTTTTTTACGGTATATTGAATGTCCGCTTTCTTCCTGGACCAAAGGCTCCGCGGTTGTGTTTTATAAAAAGAAAATGTTAATACTATAAGATTGAATGTGTATATAAAAAGAAAATGTTAATATACATCTTTTTGTGTTTTCAAGTCGAAAAGTGTTTGTGATAAAAAACAAAAAAGCGTTCAACACAACAGTGTTCTGTTGGATCATTTAGCGCAAGCGGAGAAAGAGAAAGAGAAACTGTGCGTAAAAGCGATGTCGTCGATATATGTGTGTACACGTATATTTATGTGTATGTACATACATACGTGAGCGAAACGCAGTACCGGCGTTTGTGCACGCGCGTACAGTCGTTTCGCGAATTTTCACTGGTAGATAAAAAAAAAGAAAATTGCAGAAGCAGATTCCGACACGAGATACGAGATCGGACTTTGCGTCCGGCGTACCGGAAGCGACCACCGATACGCGAAATCGTGTCCGAAAGCGGCAACGAAAAGACAAGATGAAAATATCAAAGCGATTAACCGAGAAAATCCGTGAGACAAACTCTAAATAAGATCGAGGATGTGCGGCGGGCGAAATAAGAAATGACTCAGAACGGAAATCGCTTATGAAATCTTCGGAGAATTCCGTCAGTCGGCGCGATTACGTCATAAATTCGAACAGAATTCGAATATCCGAAAAAGAAAAAAAATAAAGACGTATCAGCCTGAATTAATAATAGAATCAATTTCGTCGCGGATATAAAGGTTTTTTTTTTTTTCATACGATATAGCTGTTCCGATATTACGCTAATGTAATATATTATTTAGATAAACGATAAATCTTCTGGATAAATTAAGATAATGAAGAGATAAATTTACAATCGGATAAGCTTGTAAGAAGGATGAACGAAAAGCCGATGAATATTAAAAGACGATGATTACGCGATACCTTAATGAGAATGAGAGTAAAAAAAGGAAATAGATGAAGCAATCCTCGAGATATACACGATCGACGACATCGCGAGAAAAAAAAAAACGATAATACGGAACACATTGATCAAAGCTTGCTCGGACAAGTTCTTGAAAGACAAGACAAATGTCTCCGTTTCGTGTTACGCGCTCTAAAACCGCACAAAAACTGGAAGCCGGAATCTAGTCTCTAGAAGAGAATTGTATTATATATAGCGACTATATGCGCCGACCAAAGAGCTCCGAGATCATCGATCTATCGTTTCGCAAGAGAAGATTTAATTTACAACAAAATATAAAAACAAAAAACGAGCAAAAGCTTCGAATCGATAAAGACAAAGCGGATCAGAAATTGCGGAAGGAGTGCCGTGAAGAGATTTTTTTCGTTTCCTTTGCTACTTCGTTACTTTTTTATCTCGAAAAATCGTTTCGGCGCGTACGTAAGACGTCTTCTTCTTGTCGTTGGAAATTCCCTTTTTTCGCTTCCTTCCTTTTTATATCTTCTTTCTTTCTCTCTTTCTCTCCCCTCTTGCTCCAACGTCTCGATCACCGGTCTAGCCGGAGCTTCTTCGACGCGCACCTGTCAGTTCACCGGTTTGTCTTCCGCACACACGTACGTGCGCGTGTGCGCACTTCCTTAGCGAGCAAAAAAAAATTACCTTTGGGAAAAGAACTCTGAGAGAGAGAGAGAGAGAAGAAGAAGAAGAAGATAGAGAAGCGCCGGGGTATCAGGCGCGACGGCCCGATTGTACCGACACGTCGTCGTCGGTTAGGCACTAATCTCGTTTAATTGAATTTTCTTGTGCTCTGCATCCACATCACGCTATAGATCAGGCAAGAAGCGAAGTCGCAAACGCGGAGACGTTTTGCGGACGACACATTCGTCCGTGGTTTAATCGCACCCACACTGTACGTATATCGGTGAGAGCAAAATGAGCGAAATGACACGTCGCGCCGGTAGCGTTAACGTGTGTCTCCGCGCGAGCGTGTGAAGTAACAAGCGAGAGAGAAAAACAAAAAGAGCAAGAGGGAGAGAGAGAGAGAGAGGCAAGCGATAAAAAGAGAGAGAGAGAGACAGATTGTGAATCGAGGTAGAGAAGCGGATACCTAATGTGTCACAAAGCGCGTGTGCGTGTCAACGGTATCGCTGTGTGTGTGGTATATGTATGTATTTTACGTGTGTTATAATCTATGCGTGTGTGTGTGTGTGTGTGTGCACCGCAGCACCCAAATGACACCCCGGACACGTACGGACAGCGTTGACGACGAGACGGAGAGCAGAGCGAGAACGGAATCGTGAGAGGCACTGCTGGTCCCACCGTCGCTGCACCGACGTTGCGTAGAGCGCCGCGTCGCCGGCAAGACGGTCTGCGGGGACGGTAGGAGGGGTTGCCGGAGGCAGGCGCAGGCGTCGAGCCGGAGCGGACACCGGGTCGATAGTCCGCAACGTCGTTCCTCCCTTGCCGGCCGGCTGCCTCCACTTGCTCGCTCGTGCTCTTCCCCGTCTCTCTTTCTCTCTGTCTCGTCGCCGCATCGCTAAACTCCTCGCAGTGGCGACGAAATGCCGTCTGGAGTCGTGGGAACCTCCTCTCGAAAGAGAACTCCCCAAAGCGTTTTTAGACCTCGACTTTTCCTCGTATTTTTCAAGAATTCATCTATTATCAATAAAAAGCTATATCACTCAGCTTCTTTCTTAGTTTTTTATAATAAAACTTTAATAAATTTTCACACAATTATTTGTAGAATCGACGCAATAGTTTTTTTACCTTGTTTTCTGTTTTTTTAAACATTTATTGTCCGATATATCGCAATATTTACTTGTGGGGAAAAACTGTTTAAAACTCACACAAACATAAACTCTTCGTCTATTAATTTGAAACTTTTTTAAGACAATATATTCCGATTGTTGAAGAATTAATTGAATCTTTAATCCGATCTCATCAGCTGGACAAAGAAGATGCGAAGATTAAATTTCAAAATTAATCGTTACTACATTCAGATAACTTTTTTTTCAGAATAAAAAGCTCGCCGAGGTTCTCAAGACGCTAAATCCGCCACTGGCTGCTTCGTTTCTTCCTATCTTCTCTCTCTCTCTCTCTCTCTCTCTCTCTCTCTCTCTCTCTCTCTCTCTCACGTTCGTCACTCTCTCGTTCGCACCACCGTACTTACTACTTTACTAGTACGCTCTCTCTCTCCCTCTCTCTCTCTCTCTCTCTCTCTCTCTCTCTCTCTCTCTCTCTCTCTCTCTTACTCCCTATCGCCCTCCCTTTCTAGATCTCCTAATTCTCTTTCCCCTTTGCAAACCATCCGTTTGGTCTAACGTCTATTTTCTAGGAGAGCTTTTTCATTTTATTCCCGCCCACCCGCCGACGCACATGTACATACGTGTTGTTCGGTGGTGGAAGTATAGTTCCGAATTGCCTCCACGTTCGGAAGGTAGTAGGTTCGAGGCTCTTTGCGGTGGGGTATTCCGGATTCTTCGCCGCTGTGTTGATTCTCATGCTCGATACGCTGTAAGATCAGCAGGTACTCAATACCCTAATTCGCTTTTTTTGCTTTCCTTCCAGAGTTTGCCTTCTCTTGTTTTTAGATTTTAAGTTTCGAACAAGTTAAGACAAGTTTTTTTTTTTTTATACCGCGCACGAATAGAGTGGTTGCTAATTGCGCTTCGAACAGAAATCTATATTGTATATATATATATATATACAGGGTGTTCCAGAATTGATGTAACATCTCTCGTAGACAGGTAGAAGGAATAAAACTGAGTCGATAAGTCCTATATCATTTTGCTAGATTCGCAATAGTTACCGAGATATTAATTAACAAAGATCCGCGAATAAGCGTGCATCGGACTGTCTTACGCGCGTAGGACAATCCGGCGCGCTTCGCACAATTACATTTTAATACGTATATGTTATAGTATATGCTGTTATATTAGCTCCTCCCATATGTCGCTATGGGTAACACCGTTAGCGCGCGAAGCGCACTGGGCTGTCTTAAGCGCGTAAGACAGCCCGATGCATGCTTATTCGCTGATCTTTGTTAATTAATATCTCGGTAACTATTGCGAATCTAACAAAATGGTATAGGACTTTTCGACTCAGTTTTATTCCTTCTACCTGCCTACAAGAGATGTTAAACCAATTCTGGGACACCCTGTATATACATGTAGATTGATTCGACGATTGTAATTATATTTAACGTTTACAGATCGGATATTAAATCAGATTTTAATATCTCGATCGACAAACAAATATTTTTGAACTTTTGAATTACATTTTAATTAAAATTTTTACAATTATCAGTCAGTAATAATAAAGTATACGCGAACATATCTTTAACAAGTCTTTCGCTATTCCGTCTTTGTTCCGGGATATGCATCTGTCTATACCGGGATATGTCTATGTTCTCTCTTGCAACTTCCTCTTCCTTGTTTCCGTTTCCGTCTCTTCCTGTCCGCCACTCGTCGCGCTCGTCACGTATCCCGGCGCCACGGTGTCGAGTCAGAAGCGTCGCGACGCGCCGGTATCCCAACGGCCGGATCGAGTCACGCGGATAGGCGTGTTTCTCTTCGAAAGTTCGCGGAGAGAGAGAATCACCCATCCTGTGTGACATAACTCTCTCTCTCTCTCTCTCCAAATACGAGACAAAATTCTCGACGATATCGAAGTTTTCGTTTATCATATTTTTCCGTTTGTCACGTACCGAACGTCGCGCAACAAGAAAACAAACGTATGTGTTATCTCGAACAATTTGTTTCTTTTTTTTCACGTTACAAATGTTTACGGGTCACCGCGGTTAAATCGTAAATATAATAATGCTTGATGTGTTATATGTTGAATAAAACTATCTTCTTGCGTATAATATTCTTCCAAGAATTTACGAAAGCAGATACAGGCATGTACCAAGGGAGATACATAACTTGCAATATACGAGTTGCAATATTATTTTACGAGGGAGTGTAGAAATATATTTCTTCACACGGGCAATGAAGTACATTTCAATGTTCCGTTTGAGTGGTTTATGCTCGTTTTGAAAAGGTTTTGAAGATGCGCAACAAAATATATACACAGTTTGTCCGGAAAGTTCCCGGACTGATTTTTTCTAGCGCGGGTAAGCGGCGCTATCGAGCGGTCAACGCTGGAACTACTTAGTA